CTAGAGACATCATTTTTCAAATGCGAGTCAAGTCAATGCGTTTTTTTTACTTCTCCGGGAGGCTGCAAGGAGATGTCTTTTCTCAAAAAAGTTGACAAACAAAAATTTAAATTGAAATTATATACAAAGAACAAAAGAGCAAATATTTAACTCAAGTTCGCCATAGCGCGAAAGAAATGCAAATCCGTTTTTTCTTCGTAAACATGCATAATTTTCTGCACTTATTCATTGAGCACCCGGTATTTTTTTTGTAAACTGGTGCCCACTCGAGACGTTATAGAAATTAAGTTTTTGGACGGAAGTGTCTTTTTGCGAAATGGCAATTACTTTCTTTATACTGGAATGTGATCCACTGAAGTATGACTGTATGCCATAATGCCAGCCCTCTACAGCATTTGTTGTTTTGGCCAAACCCAATGATGCCGCATCCCTTTGATTAAATAATGAAGGGGGGAATAGGACTTCTCGATTCGGGACGAGACTTTTTATGTAGTTCGATCCAAAATAAAGGCAGAGCTAGTCAATTTTTGCTATTTTTTCCGACTCTTTTATAGTGCGATCGCAAACTATTTGAATTTCCTCCACTATTTTATCGTATGAATTTCGTATTTCTTTTTCTTTTTCAAAAGCAAGTGTGGGTAACATTTTGAGTGCTAAAGCGAACTCGTGGTTTGTTTCGTAATCCTTTTTCAATCCGAGTTCCGCGATTTTATTCTCATTAAATTTTGGGAAAGATGGAAGAAACATCCCGACAGCTTGGACTCGGGAAAACTTTTCTGAAACGCTTGAATAATGGCCTGCTCAAAATCCAGCAAAATATTTTCAGGTCTACTATCAGGGCTAGTATTTAAAGAGCTTCTAAATAGCGGTGGTAAGTTTTTACTGTTTTATTCGGCAGGAACGCATATATGCAATGACTTTGAAAGTTCCATCGTCCAATCAAAAGTTGGATTCTTCAAGCACACGAAGCATTTCAGGGTCGCTGAATAAAAAATCCTCTCATGATCATTTTGCCCACTGTCAAATCTTATAAAATTTTTGAAAGGTTCGGGTATTTCGAACCTTCTGGTTGCTGGTGAGACTGGTAAGACTTCTTCTCGTAGCTTGCTTGCTCGTTGTGCGGTGCGAACTTGGTTTTCTCTGGTTGGTAGGGTTAATTGAGTGGCAATGTCGTCTGTAATGGGCTGAATGGCGGTTGCGACTGCGACAGTTGGGGTATTACTATCGCTCAGATCCTTGATGTTTTTCAAAACTAGTCGAGCATCAGGTTTGCTTGCTGAAATGTCATGTTTATGTTCATCCCTCGTTTCAAAAAAGTTTTCTCCATCCGTAATTGCTGTTGCGCAGCATTTATGTGTTTGATATTACGAGCAGTTCCAATTTGTAGTTGTCTTGTTTTTGCGTTTAAAGTAATACTCGTGGCCTGATACCACTAGCATTTGTTTGTCTTTCGAAGATAAAGTAAAATAGAATGACGCTTCAAACATTATATCTGATCTGATAGAGTGCTACAACAATGGTCAAAAAAATAGGCAGTTTGATTTTTTATAAAACTCATAAACGTCTTTTGTTGCCTTCAGTTAGCACCATGTAGGTTATCTCTGTTTTAAACGCTTGAGTGAGGAATTGTTTCTCTATTTAATCGAAATGCAATTGTTTTTGAGATGCTAGAGGCATCAAGTGAATTAAGACTAGCTTTTCAGGACACAATTAGTACACTTAATTCTACTGCTCCTTTACTTATAAAAAGGACTTCATTTGAAACTAATTATCGTCATTAAAAGGGTTTTTAGTTGTTGTGGGGTTATCTTGTTACGTGGTTATAATATAGGGGGTGTAAACATAGGGGTGAAATATCGTGGGGTTAAAGAGTGGGACACCCATTTAAACATTGGTGCTGGTTTGTAAGTGTTGTTTTGTTTTGGGTTACTGGAGATCTACTTGGCAATCCGCGTCCTATGTCTCATCCAAATATTTCCCAGTTTTTTTCGAAAACTTTTCAATTGATTTTTGGTGTCTTCACTTATTTTCTTGCTTGATCTGCTGATTTGATGTGTTTGATGCCCTTTGTTCTGCTGAATGCATTTTTAGTGCGCATTCTTCGGGGTTCTTGTTTCCGCTTAAAAATGTTGCGATTTGTCTTATCGTATGGGAGCTGATTTACTCACTGAAATCTCCTCACTTTTGAGGTAGCTTTTGAGACTATAGCTCAAACAATTCCGTTGAAGAGTGAACGCAATGCATGATGTTAAATTTTTGAATTGCAATCATCGGTTCAACTACAAAACAACCATCTTTTCATCAATTTGTCCTATATGTTAAGTTTTTCCTTTTTTCTACTCTATATTAAATTTACGGAAGAGTGCGAGCCAAAAATATGCCACCTTAGCCAAACAAAACCGGCAATAATATTGTTTGAATTAAATACAGTCCAATAAACAAAGCAATAATACAAAACGAAGCAATAATGCATAATTTAGGGTTCATAATAAACCGCGTATTGCATAAAAGGCCTTTCCAACATATTGGAAGTTGATGGAATATGTCCAGCTTTGTATGTCTTTGTTCCGACTTTCGATACAAAAGTAACGGAATATTTGTGCTCGGGGTGGATTTTTTTTCTTCAGACAAATTTCGACTTTTCAACTAGTAATTTTTTTATATCATTCAAAAAGTATTGTTGTCCTGAGCTTAAAATTGAAAAGATATTTTACCTGTGATCATTTATCGCAAAATTATAGGGGTTTAAAGGTTGCCATTTTAGCCAATTTGGGACAAATAACGCGCGATATGTTCCGCGCTATTAACACGTAAGCGGAGATTTGATCCGTATCAGAAATTGTTCCAAATTGGTTGAAGGAAGCTCAATTGCCATAACTGATGTGTTAATAGGAGCAAAATTTATCACTTTGTACTGTATATGGCGTGTGGGGGGATGATTTTCAAAAAAAAACGTCATACTTTTTTTTCATTTTTTTATATTTATAATTTTATTTTTTCATGCTATTAATGCTCCATAGACCTTAAAAGGCAGTCGGAAAATTCAGGGTTTCGCCCTGATACGAGCATTTTTGTTACTTTATAGTGATGTTCTCAGTTTCAAAAATTTTATGTTGAACTATGTGAGGAAATCATATGTTACAATTGAGTTACTAAAAACATATGCGGCGCTCACTATTGTACTTGTCAATTGTTGAATTAGTAAGCAAACGCTGTGCATATATGACGCAAGTACTATTTCTTTGCAATATCTCCAAGAAAAGACAGCTCTGACTCTTTAAAGCTCCTATTTTACGTTTGCAATAATTAGAAAACTTATACCTGCAATGCAATAATGATTTCAATATGTTTTGCCCGAAAGTCATTTATTGCAATAATTTTTTGATAAACCATTTAGTTTACAAGCCTTGTCGCGTATGGTATTAATAGAACCAATCAGGCGCCTCAATTCAATTTGAAACGATTTTGTAGTGCGGGATGATTACAGATGTAGTTTAATCGTAAGCATGGTAGGCTGGTACAGTAGTAAGCATACTCGGCTAGCCGCATGTAGAGCAAAAGATTGATCCCCGAGTGAACAGCGTTTTTAAAGTGGTCCGAATAAAGAAAACAAGCATATTTATTCCTCACTTTCTTCGAAAGGCGGAACAATAAATATTTGCTACATGCTAAACATGCGCGCGCCAACACGCTTAAATACACGTAAAAATACTCTGTTTTGTTCATTTTGTTCCAACTTTCGACGAAAATGACGGAATATTTGTGCTTGTGGTGGTTTTTTGTTCCGAATTTCGAAGGAAACGGATTATTTATGCTCAGTGTGGTTTTTTAATCAGTCATTTTTGACCATTGAAATAACAAAAATTATACTCGATTGAAGATATCGACCATCGAAGATGTATTCATATTTTTGACAGCATAACGCGAACTACTTATGCGTGGCAAATTATCCCGCACAACAAAATCATTTCAAATTGAATTGAAGCTAGTTAATCGGTCGTATTAGTTTCGCTCGACTCAAAATATTACTCTTACCTTTGATATTGTCCAACTTATAGATTTTTAGTTTTTTTCCACAAAAAAGTATTCAATATGGATTAAGTGGCAATGGGAAAACTCAGGCTTTGCCCTGATATACGAGCAGTCTTGTTTTTCTCCAGACAAGTTTAAACTTTTAAACTAACCAGTTATAACAGATTTTTTTTAAATCATCAAAAGTTATTGTTGTCCCGAGCTGAAACCGAAAAACGTTTTCGTAAATGTTTGTAAAGGCTAAAAGATTAAAGATTACCTTTTTGGCCAATTTGGGACATTCAGCGCGATAAGTTTTGCATATTAAAGCTTAAGCGGAGATTGAATCGGTCTTCAAAATTGTTCAAAATTGGTTGAAGCAGGATTTTTGCTATAGTTCCTTTGTTAATTAGAGCAAAACCTATCATTCTGTACTTTTTATAGCGCGTGGAGGATGATTTTCAAAAAAGAATCTCGAAATTTTTTCAAAACTTTTTTCATTTTTTTGGAAAAATTAATCAATTCTTATGAAACGAAACACTTCTCAATTGGCCTCAAAAGGCAGTTGGAATATTCCGGGCTTCGCCCTGATACGAGCAGTCTTATTAAATATTTCATTTTCTACCAAACTATTATATATTTCCCTCGTTTGAGTTTCTTTTGAATTGAGTGTTTTATACTTGCCTTGATTATATCGCCACTGTGATGTCAAGAACCTCGAGAGTTTGAAAATTAAGCATAATTTAGAGAAGTAATATTTATTTTAACACGTTTTACCGTTTTCAGCACTTGGACGTTTGTTAAGGATTCCTGAAGTGGGTCAAAAAGCCAATCTTGCTTGCTTACTACTAAACTTAAAAATTATATATATGGACGATTTTTTATGTGAAATATGGCCAGCATTTTTTCAGGAAAGTCTTCAAACTACTAAATTTTTAACGTAAGTCTTACGAGAACTTATTCTGAGAAACTTGAAATTGTATTGACAGGAATTGCAGAAATGTCCAGTGCTGGACTGTCCCAGACAGAAGGCCACGTTCAAAGATCGAATCAGGGTAGGAGATTTGCCTGTGAGACCAGTGGCCGAAATGGAAATGTTTTCAGTGGTAACTTCAACACTGAATGTGCAACCATTCCGAGAAGGTGAGAACCGCTCCCGTGCCCTTACTTAAGAACTTAACAGTTTCTTATGTTCTTTTTGAACTAAAAGATTATCTTCCGTCCTCTTGCACTAAGCACAGATTTTGGGGAGCCCACAAACACCAAAATGTTTTGGATTTGGAAGAATTTTCTGGTTAACAAACGTACTTATCTTTGTCCCCGTAAAACCTTGCATTTAAAATGGCAGGTTAGTAATGTTTTCTGCCTATACTTCTTGTAGATACCGCTACTTAGTGACAATTTTTCATTTTTATATTAAAATTAAAATGCCGAGTTGAATTAATTTTGGGATTTATAGTAGAAAACATGTGACTTTACATGTTTGGACATGTGAATGACATGTGGCACGCTATTTTTCCCAGATAACGAACAGGTGAATTTACATACTTTTTATGTAATTTCACATGCTGAAAAAAATAACTAGGAAAAAGAATGTCGGTTAACTTTGCTACCGCAAACTAAAACGATGCAAATGGCAAAAAAAACCAATGTATATGAAAATTTAACGTGCAGTTAACGAGTTAAGATGTCAAGATCATCGAAAGTCAGGATCACCGAATCAATTCTAGAAAAAATTGTAAGCTTTGTATTAGATGGTTGTTTCAGTCTGCCCGCTAAATCAGCTTTGAGTCACAAATTACAAATTGCACATTCCCTCCCTCGAAAAGAATATGTGACCCAACTTATTTTTAAAAAAGTTAGATTTTGTTCGTTCAGTTTGTTTGCTGGTACCTGTTTAATCATTTGTGCATCAACTGCAGATATTCAAAAAAGCATCAAACATGAGACTTTACATTAGAAAAATTGTAAGACTGATCGTACTAATATTGTACATTCAACATGTCTAAAAAACAGCTCATTTAGAAATGTGATTTTTCAAATATGTAATTTGACATATGTGATTCCATCTTTTGTTTTATGTGATTTTACATATTTATCATTTCACATGTGACAAATTACATTTTCATTTTCTAGAGTGCTGTTCAGTCGCGTCAACTGATGTCACTGACCTTTCATCTTCAATCACTACATCGTCAACCTCCTCAATTTTCTGCTCCTCTGCAATTGGAGATGGCGCTCACAGTTCTAGAGAAACGGAACAGGATGAATTAATCGGTAGATTGGAGGGACTTGCTGTATCAAGTGAAGCGGTTGGAGGCGATAGTGGCAGGGGAGCGAGGGGTGTCATTTTTGGTGACTGTGTCGGAGGAGGGGTTGGGAGCATCTCTGCGGGTAGCATCTCCTCTACACTTGGAGATGGCGCTCACAGTTCTAGAGAAACGGGACAGGATGAATTAATCGGTGGTTTGGAGGGACTTGCTGTATCAAGTGGAGCGGTTGGAGGCGATAGTGGTGGGGAAGATGGTTCCTCTTTTAGTGGGATGAGAGAAGTTGTTGCGAGAAAGAGGAGGACTCTAGTGGGAGTGGAAAGGAAGGCAGTGGGAGATGATGAGGTTGTGTTCTGTCAGGCGGTGTATAACACAGAGACGAAAGAAGTGCTCTGTATTAAAGACGTTGATGAAGAAAATGTAATCCGAGTGTGTGGATTAGATGAAACAAGTGGAGTTGTTGAAATAAAAAGAACGATGGACTGGACTGTACTGAGGGGAGACGAAGATAAACTGTGGATGATGGCAATGGACGGTAACAACGAGTTGTACGGGTGTATGGAGAGGAAGAGTGATGGAGTAGAAAGAGTGGAGATATTGGACCAGAATACACTTGAGAAGAAAGAACAACTAGACACAGATGGAATTGATAACGGAATAAACATTAGCTGGATGGTAGGTGCTTCAGGTCATAGTGTGGTTGTAGCTGTACTTGATGCAAGAGAGTCAGACTGGAAATGGACAAGTGTGACTGTGTTTAAAAATCAGCAAAGACAGCACACTGTGTCACTTAATATTGCATTGGACGGAGGATGGAATATAAGCAGCTGTGTTTTAGCGAACGAGACCACATTGTTGCTCTCTTGTGGTAACAATACCAATAGAGTGGCAGTGATCTCGCTTCCACCACCACCACCATCAGATACATCAAAAAAGACCAGAACTGATACAACCATAGCAACAACTTCAACAGCATTAACATTAAGGCCACTGTCTGTGATCTATATAGTCTTGTCTGAAGTAAAGCAAGTTTATGCTCTAGTCTGGATGCCATCAGCCGGAGTCCATTCACAGTCCCAGTTGTTAACCGGACACCTTTGGGTGACAGATTATCACAATAATCAAGAAGGAAAAGAACAAGAAGTAGTAATTGCTTCAAACGGAGACATAATCCTAATATTAAACACTAATACATTCCGTGTGTATGAACTCGATATTAAGAAAGACGTGTCCCAGCCAGAACAACCAGAGGAAATTACACTTCACTCAATGACCGATATTGCACCCTCTATGAACGCAGGTGTATTTTGTAAAATTGATGAAACTACAATTTTTGGAGATTGCGCGGAAACTGGCTATTGTAAACCGTGCCTGTTCAGCTTAGAGTATCAACCACCTCAGTAGTTTGACACTAATTCGATCAATATGTTCACTGCTCTCGACATCAACTTATGTTTTCTTTCTGTTCACTATTTTACACAGAAAACTCATCAACACTCTGACACAAATTTTCTTTCAAAACTAGCTAATTATGCTCAAATTATTAAAAATCTTTATTTGTAGTGCAATTTTTTGAGACATTTGACAAAAGTACAGTTTTCTACATAATTGCACTCATCTTCGAACAGCTCTGGACTTGTTTTCCTTATGCTTTCTGCCGTTTATCACTACCATAGTGGAACCTGATCTAAACTACAATTTATTATTGGATAAATTAGATACTTTACCACTGTAAAATATTTATTATTAACCAATCATAATTCATCTAACTAACAACCCACATATTTGTAAGTGCTGAGATTACTTGTAATTTCAGCACCAGAGAGATTTGAATTTAACTTAGAAATTAGTTACCTCTCCAAGAGAACTTCAACAGTTGCAATAAGCCAGTATACTCTAGATCTATTGAGCCTAGCAGAGACTAATTAAACACCCTGAGACTAGTAGATATAAGAGTAAGATTAGGATCGGTATTAGACTAAGAAGTTGCACGAATCTATCCGGCCGAAAATGAGATAGCGTGACGAGCAGACGGTGTACCCTATCCGAAATTACTCTATGAGTTAACCTCAAGGACCTAACTCATGTGGTGCGACCATGTCTCGAATAAGACCTTAATTGCTTAGAATTAACCAAATATAGATTAGAAAATAGACAAAACATTTTCAAAATGTTGCACGATAATAACTTAATTGAAATGTCTCTACGACTCAATAGATCAGAGCCAAAGTTCCGCACAATACTAGAACTACCCGGTATTGGAAGAAGACCTCGGACAAGAGACGACATACGACTAGATAGAAACTTACCATTTAGTTTTATGGTTGTAAGGCAAAAGCCAACACAAACTTTTATATTTAGAATCTTATTAGCAATGAATTTAGATTTTCATTTGCAAACATAAAATTTTGAAGTAAATCTTCATGATTATTTCAGGCGCTAAACAAAATTACTAATGTACAATAATGACTGATAAAAAGATCTCAGATCGTTCCCTCAATTTCTGCAGTATTTTATAAAACATATTTGAAAAATATTTATTGAAAATAAAAATAAAAATTAGTAGCATGACAATTAATAGTTAGTAATTATAAATCATCCTGTTGTTCCAGCTTCATCACTAAACATAACAGCAATCATAAGCTAACTAACATCATTAAAAACTAAATTTTTTTATCAAATAAGTATACATCATTTTAAACTTAGTTTAATTTTTTTAAACTAGATCATCAAGGCTTATCCTTGGATCTTAATAAATTTTCTATCTCATTAATTTTAAAATCTGATCATAAAGGTCTATCCTTGGATCAAAAAGAACAATTTTGTTGTCCCCCACCCACTTAGCAAGTGTCTAACAACCTCAAACGTCGATTCACTATCCAACCTTTTCAAAAGACCCAGGACTAATGGAAATTTTTAATAACACTAACCATTCAAACTAGGCTAAACAGTGAAGAACTTCGGTTATTCATCCTTCACTTGAACCCTCCTCTTACCAGACCCAGGAGAGATCTTAGACTAAGTAAGTTTAAAATAGTATCCAACGAACTACTTGTGTTCTAATTATACCTGAACCTTGTGGATCGATTTACTATTCTCCAACCCTTGAACACAATCACTACCCCTAAGTAAGATTAAGTAAGTTAACACCTTAACTTAGACTAGCCAAGAGAAAGTAAAAAATCATTCTCCGGAATCGATATACTTTTCTCTCCAACCCTGAATAAAAAGACCCAGGTTAAGCTAACCAAAAAATCGTAAGGACTAACAGTCTAGGAAATTAAAAAATCACTAATAATTTCTTGCATCCCTCATCCTAAACCTTATGCCATTCAGTAATTTAGGAAATAAACAAACAATTGTTGTACACAATTGTGAAATAGACAACCAAAAATATGACTTGAAATAACCCCACATACACAAACAGTTGGATACATTCGAACAAAACGACAAACAATAAAAAGAAAAATTATAAGCAAACAAAGACAAATCACACGAAGAAGATTTTCAAAAAATAGAAACGCATTTTCCGAATCAGAAGCCAACAGTTTAGACGAACTATACAAAATAAAAGAATTAAAAAATAAAAATTGCCCCATCCATGATCAATTATATTTTTCCGACTCAGAAACAACTTCAAATTCATCAAAAAGAGGAAAAAGAAGAAGAAAAAAGCAATATAAAAACAGAAACCAGTACACCTATATACTTGGAATCAACCAATTAGACACATTGATAGTTATATATTAACAGCCATCAAACAAAAAAATGAGCCACACTCAAAGTGACGAGAGCCCAGATGAAGAAGCAGTTTTTCCTTTTCTTATAGATTCACTCGATGATAGAGGACAAACACGGTTTTGTAAAAACTTACTCGTAAATTTGTTTACCCGAAATCAGTCCATGTAAAGCAGAATTCCCGGATGTAAAAATCAAAAGTCAAATTATAGAACATTATTTGAAAGACATATGTAATCTAACACAACAATACGGAATCTACACCATAGAATTCAGCACACCACGAACAGCTCATTGTAATTATGTAATTCAAACAGACAATATTGAATTAGAAATTTCAAAAGTATTCATAGAATATATTGAAAGCATACAATATGATAAGTAACAAAGAGCAAACTCCATATTCACTATCGAAGTTTTTGCAATAATATATAGTTATATCTCTAAATTAGAAAAAACAGAAGTTCAAAGTATATCACCAACCGAAAAATCCAAACATACAAAAATAAGAATTGAAATCACAGTATTTTCAACATTTTTACATATATTCCACGAAAATTTTACCAATAATGATGTCTCACAAAACACTGAACATGATTTGCAAAAGATTTTAGCATGGTTTATAATAGATTATTTTACCCACAATCTAGATTTAATTTCACAAGCAAGAAAAGTTTTCAGACCTCAAAATACCAATGAAGACACTGTCATTGCAGAACAATCAGATTACGTTTGGGAACCTGAATGGTCTCATCCAGCATTTCTAAACATTCCACAAGATATCTCGAGTCAAGCAATAAGTACAATATCTTTCCACAGAGATTATGTAAAAGTAATACCATTGACGATTGACGCAACACTATTAAATTATAATACCTTTTTACCTGATACACAAAATAACAGTTTAAATTCAACATTCATACATAATGAAAATCTCAATGGAACCAAAAATCTTACACAACAAGATATTCAAACACAATCACACTTCAGAAATGAAGAAATCGTTCAAACAACAGCAATAACTACACAACAAAGTATTTCACCAATACACCCAAATCTGACAACACCAAGAAATATAAACATATCACTAACACAGGTAACCTTACAAGCGACCGTTAAACCTTCGGTTGCTCCACAATATTCACATATGGACTATCAAACAAATAGACCAATGACAAAACCGTCAAAAACACGAAAAACGTTCACAAGAAACACTTTTGCAGAACACAATTATAATTATGCACACCAACCAAAAACAAATCAATCCCCCCCCAAGAAAAATACACAAAAATTAAATCACTTATGTTCCCATTATTGGAATCTCCCAAAAACATCGATCAATTCAGTAATTTTCCAGATAATCCACACCCTCCAAAGGATTATAGTGAAAATTACCCATTTTTTCAAAAGAATAAAAATAAACAACATACAACATATAACACAATTTATTTATCATCTGATGACGATGATTATCATCAACCAGATATTTTTGCACCATATACTAAAGAAAATTGCACACAGAGACCGCGACAATCTCAACCATCTCAAAATATGAAAATTTACCCACAAAATCCAACAGATATACAAAATCCACAACAAATGCATATACAAAACCCATTTAAGACACAATCTTTTCAACCAATACAACCACGAAACCCAATGTCAATGCATTCTTATCAACCAACCCAAATGCAAAATGAAATACCGCTCCCATATTACCTTCAGCAACATGAAATAACAAAAAATCAATTTTCAAACTTTTCACAAATGCCAAATGCCGCAGAATCACTACAGATTACAATGAATCACTACCTAATGGGTGGATCATCAATAAAATCGAATAAACCATTAATGGTATTCACAGGAACAGACCCTGAATATTCTGTAGAAGATTATTTAAATGCAGTAACAGCAAATTTAATTTGAAATATAGGACCCGAACCAATTAAAACACCACTCCATCAAAATTGGATACATAGACACACAGCGTTAATACAAACAACACTACATGGCGCAGCTCAAAAAAGGTTTTCAGTATTACTCATAGAAATAAAAACAGATTAGAAAAGAATTACACAAGAGTTTTCAAAAATATTTGATTCTGAAAGAAACAAACAACACCAAAGAGTTTTATGCAACGAAATACGCAGAATACCAAATGAAACAATTAAATAATTAGCAGTACGAATCGAAACACTAGTTCGAAAAGCATATTCACTTAATACACATAATTACAAAAACACAAAATTGACAGAAATTTTAATGATGACCTTAACACCTCAATTAAGGAAAATTGCTATAAAAAAGAGAGCATCTCATCCTTCCTCAATTCGAGAACCAGACTTAGATTTTAGAAAATTAGTAGATAAACTAGAACAAGCAGAAATCACAATGAAACTCGAAGAAACGGAAAATCTAAAACTGCAATATACACTTTTGAAGAACGACACACTCGCTTATCCGAACCATTAGAACCAGTTCAGCGACAGGCACCCCTAAGTGAACCAACATATTATCTATACCCCACATTACCAAAAGACTTAAACAGAATAAGACACATTAGTCAAAATCAAAATACAGTTGAAATAAATAGACAGATTATACATCTGCGAAGAAATAGAAAATTTCGAACCCCTAGAGTTCATTTTGATATACCCCAGTCACCA